CTCAAAAAACTTTTTAGATTTTTTGGGTAAGATATCCAATTTCATTTTTCGTTTTCGGGGGTCAAAAACCAAAAATTTCAAAAATCCAAGATTGCAGTTTTGTAGCACTGTTGATTTCACACCTTTTATGTTTTGATCATTTTTCTATATCCTCAAAGCTGTAGGTCTGACAGCTCTTCTCGCGAAGCACTTTTTTCGGTCGAAAATGGCAGAACATTACGTAATTCTGGCGTCATTTATGGCCAACCTATCATAGCCTCTGGCAAAATTTTGGTCACAATGTATAAAAATGATGCCCGGAGAAGTCCTGAAAGTTTGGTGGCGATAGCTGCAGCCGTTTAGGAGATATTGACGGAAAAGGACAGGGGGGCCGTTTCGGCCCCGCCCCCCCCCCCCCACCCTACGGGGCGCGGGTTAGAAATCAGGATGTCATCTTTAGTCAGCCCAACGCCCCGCTTCCACCCGATCCTGGTAGCCAGCAGTCGACTGCCCTGAGCTTGAAAGGTCAGGTCAGTTTGTGTCTGCGGGATACGGATGAAAGGCGCTGTCGGGTCACGGCTGGTGGACGGTGCTCAGTGCAGGCGGGTCATCAGTGCTGAGCGGAGTGTGAAGAGGCAGCAAGTTTCTGTTCTGTGGTTGCTCTGTGGTTCTGTGGGGATGTCTCACGAACTGTTCGATCAGAGGTTCCTGGAGTGGGAGGAAGCGCTGAGCGGCAAGAACTCTCGAGTCGTGGAAGACGCCGAACATGGCGACGTCATCCGCTTTCTGATGGACGCCAGACCGGTGGAGGAGAGGCCGCTGACGTCCAAGGAAAGGAGGTGGATGGCAACGTAACATGTTGTTGACTACAGGAAAAAAGGCAGACATTAATCTGTAAGGTGATATTTGCGAGCAAGACAAAAATAAATAGTAAGCTGCGAAAGAGCGTCATCAAAACACCACATCGTCTCGTTATGCACCATTGCTGCCAAGCTTCATTCTGAGCTCTGAACCAATTCATCGCGTCTTATCTACACATCATGTATGTACTCGTATATGGCTGTTGTTTCTCCGTTTTCGCATTTTACCTAGGTAGTTTGCAACAACCCTAGGGAGTTTGCAAACTAGCTAGGGACTTTGCAAACTACCTAGGGAGTTTGCAAACTACCTGTTCGACCAGGTACTTTGCAAACTACCTAGGGAGTTTGCAAACTACCTGATCGTTCAGGGAGTTTGCAAACTCCCTAGGTAGTTTGCAAACTAACTGATTTCTCATACTCCCTGTAACATATATATTTTTCTTTTTAGTTAAAAAAAATATTCATAGTGTCAGGGCTGTGACGAAAAATAAGTGGCCTAAATCCGATGAGAAAACAGGATTTGGGGGTACCCTAGGTTTGGCTCCTGCATGAGTTGCCCCCCCCCCCAAAAAAAAACGCAAGCCTGGATCCGCCAGTGATAGAAATAACATGTCACCCAAAGGTATATTGTAGCCGTTTTCACGACGGAATAGCGGGTACCTAATAGATGCCTGTTTGGTCCTTTGATACCTCAGGAATACCTGTAAGAAATACCTCAGGTACCTCAGGAATTTTAGTATTTTCCTTTGATGCCTCAGGAATTTTCGGAGTTTTTTTTTGTAGTAGGGTTTCTATATACCTTTCGAATAAGTGGCCCATTACTTGGCTGTTTTTCTATTAAATATTACAAATTTATTTTATCTAAGGGTTTACCAGTTACCACTCACGTAAACCTAAAGCGTAAGCACGTTTATGAAATAAGCATATCTCTATCATGCTAGTACAATGATAAGGAAATATACTAAGCTGCCAGCTGTGGGTGAACGAGCTCTACCAATTCCACGCTGGCTTGGCTTTGGAGCCGCAGCAGACGGCGGAAGTCAATGTCACTGCTAAGGCGGCGGCGGATTCGATGCGCCCGGTCACCACCAGGGCGCGCGCAGCGTCGGGCCGGTGAAACAGAAGCCGGGTATCTAGTTGCCTAGCTGATTTGATCCCTCATAGTCGAAAGTTGGGCAACTAGAACCGAAAATTGACTTGTTTGTATGTAAGTAAATAAGCGATTTGATGGCCAAAATCGCCTGGATTACAACTTTTAACCCTCGCCCTGGCAGGACATTTTTCATAACACGGCCTGGCAGGGGGGGGGGGGGGTCGATCCGACCGTCCTCGCGATTGGCTCCTATGGCACCTAGAAACACTAAATTTAGTAGGTAGGTGGGCCCCCTGGAGTTCTAGCCCCTGTGCAAATTTGGTTGCTCTAGGGCGCCAATATTTAGGGGGTATTGGGGGTATAAATGTAAAAAATTCGCTAAAAACAGGTCAAAGGTTTTTCGCTTATAACTTTTGATCTAATTAGGATAGAGCAACAAGAAAAGCACCAGTGAACTCAGCACGTCAAGGCGCGTCGAATGATATACTTTTTAGCTTGCTTAAGTGTAATTAAAGTTTTTCTTAATTAAAAAAACTTAAATTAATTAATTAAGTATCAGTTAACCAAATTGCATCATATGACATATCATTCGACTCGGCTGATCACCAGAAACACAATGACATCATTTTTTAAGCTCTAGCGTCATTATGTGCCAAGTTATTGGCAAAAACGTCATTTGACCTCAGTTGACCTCATTTGACCTGACCCATGGATAAGTACACCAAACAAAGAAGCACCAAGTGACCTGCTGTTAAGTAACTACTATGGTTTCAAAGCACAAAAGTGATAGAACGAAGCGGATATCTCCAGTATTTTCCGAATTTAGTATTTTCCCGTAGGCATGACATAACTACGTAATGACCTCTAACTGACCGCAGGTCAGTGACCTCGAAAAACCCGAAAAATATGTTATAAACTCGGTGAACTTAGCACATCCTGAAAGTTTGAAGGAAATCAGGCCAAAACTGTGAGTTGGACAGGTGCAAAAAGAAAATTGAAATTTGACCAAGACCTTGTACCGGTTTTTCTGACCTGGTGACCTGACCCAAAGTCACCCGGACCTGAAATTTTCAGGTCATATGTAAAGCGGTAGCCCCATAGGCTGTGCCAAATTTGGCGGCGCTGCGCGCCGCCGTTTTTACGCTATCTTTGAAAAACCTTAGGGGGGTCGCATCGAACCCCCTGCCAGGGCGAGGGTTAAAAATATTTTGAAGGCTAAAGACTTAAGTTGTAAGGATTCTAAGGCCTTAAAGGGTTGGTACTTTCCATGTATCAGATGGGTTCCACCGCAAAAGTTCCGTCATGAAAACGGCTTGTAAGTATTTTATTTACCTCGGCCGCCGAAAACGTGTGTTTTTTTTTCGACCGACTGCATTCGCCGACTCGCGGCTTCCGATGACGTTGTCAACAAATAATTTGCCAATAGAAATAATAAAAGATATTTGTTTGGAGTATTTCTAGAAAAAAAAAAACAGGTGACACAATATAATTTTGTTATTTAACAATGTCAAAAAGTCGTCTTAACGACCTTAACCTTCCAGGCGGTGGGGGGCATTTTTTTGCCCCCCTTTAGTTTTTTCGATATATCTCGAGAACCGCTGCGCCGATCGTCACCAAACTTTCAGTACCCTCCCGGGAGTAGCTAGCGCACACTGTGACCAAAATTTTTCCAAAGGCTATGATAGGTTGGCCGCTAATGACGTCAGAGTGACGTCATTTTTGCCATTTTCGACCCAATAAAAGGTTTCGCGGGAAGAGCTGTCAGGCCTATAGCTTTAGAGATACAGAAAAATGTTTCAGACATAAAAGGTGTAGAATCAAAAGGGCTACAAAACTAATATTTCGGTTTTTCGATTTTTTTTTGGTATTTGACCCCCAAAAATAAAAAAAAAATAGATTTTTTTTTAATATAATAGCCGAAAGATCCAAAAAGTTTTTTGAATTTCGAAAAAAACGGAATATATGTGATAGTCCCTACCACCTTATATCTACATACCAAGTTTGAGATCGAAACCTCTTTTTTGGCCAAGTTATAGCGAGAAAACTGTTCAAAATTGATGACGTCAAATTTTCAATCTCAATTTTTAGCAATTCTAGACCTCGTAGCGCAAAACAAAGACCTTCATTAGACTCCCCGTGACGAGCTGCATCGAATCGATACCCATTTTATGCAAAAACATCAACTTTGAAATTTGACCTTTTTTGACCTGACCTTGACCTGACCTCCACCAGAAAGTGACCTAAACCGTACCTGATGGTCTTATAACCAACACCATTGAGTTGGAAATGAAAAACTGGCCATAAAACATGCATCGCACAACCATAGTAAAGTTGGGTTTATGTGGTGACCCTTGGTGACCTTTGTTGACCTGACCTGTGACCTGACCTGGTATGACCGGTGACCTGTAATAGCAACATATGTACTAGACAACTGACGCCCTGTCGCTGATTTTCGACAAAATGCGTTTTACTCGGTGTTATAGCGCTTTCCCTAGAAGCCCCGTGAACGGTGAAACATTTTATCTTTGACCTGACCTGTGACGTCATCGGTGACCCTGAGGTCAATGAAATTTGGTTTCTCTCGACAAATTTGACAGAACTATCGAACGCCGTTTGAATTTTCCGGATCCGTCCAGTAGTTTCGGAGATACGGGGGGGGGGCAAAAAAATGCCCCCCCCCCACCGCGCGGAAGGTGGCCGGGAGGCCCACCGCCTGCCGGGTTAAATCGTGATTTTTCTCTATGACGTCATGGGAGTCAACAGTTATTCGAGAGTAAGCATAACAGTGGAATAAAGCTACCCCTATTTGTGACTTGTTCGCCATTTCTGTCGACATTTGACTGCTACCATATCCCAAACTCTGACTGTACCGGTTGTGTATATACTCTGGTTCAAACACCCCTTCCCCCCAGCAGGGCGTGGAAATCAATGACCCCCAGTGGGGCGCGAGTTAAACAAAAAGATAATGTACTGATGTGATAGACACTCACAATATTGACCAATTTTACTCTATCACGCAGGGGACAATTGACTGGACGAGACGTGGCAGTGAAACGCATAGAATACCATGCAAAGAAAGAGGAAGAAACGATTGGGAACGAAATCAAGTTTCTTTTGAAACTGGATGCCAACACCGCCAAAGTCATCAGGTAAGGTCCAAACTATAACACTAACAGGGATTCGTGTTAAGTAACACGGCACTAACACTAACACTAACACTAATACTTACACCGTGAAACAGCTAACGCCGTGCCGTGAAACATCACCACACTACGCGTGACTTTGTGGCAAACCAAGGCCCTATATGTATAGAAGGTATGCTCATTAGGCCGAAGCAGCGTTTTCCGTGACGTCACTGGTATAGTGTGTCTAACAAGAATGTCTCCTCGCCACTACGCGGCGCTGGTGTCGCGAGTCGGTAGTTGGCCGAATCCGCACCGAGACAACGCATTCCCATGCGCTGGGCGACAGCTACGCAGTGGTTGATAGTAGCGTAAGCCCGAACCCTCGTGACACGACCTCGGGAAGGAGGGAGGGGTGTGGGCGGGGAGCGCGTGGTGCGCTCCCCCGCCCGCTAAGGAGGGGTGCGCTGCGCGGTATAGGATGGCGGCTGTCGCGGCTAAAGGGCAGGGGTCACACACCAAGCCAACGATTGCTGAGGAGGGTTCGTCTTCGTAGGGACAGTGAAGTTTTGTGTGGTAATGCGTCTTGCGATGCACGGGTGCCACAGTTAGCGACGTGTCTGAGCCAAAGGGGAGCGCTGAAGAAAAACACCTGGTTAACTACAATGAATAACGGTCCTAAAATAGATAATGTGCTAGTTGAGATGGTCCACATCCAAAGGGTAAAAATAAAATTTGTCGGATTCATCAGGCCGGGTCGGAATTCTTGTTGATACTAGCCGTTTTCACGATGGCCATCTGGTGCACATTTGGTGCACATCTGGTGCAGATCAGGTGCATAATTAGAATTGTCAAGAATCTAATTTGGTCTTTAACCCTATTCCTGGCGGGGGGGGGGGGGGGGCTCAGGAGCCCCCCGCCCCTGAGGTTTTTTAGTTATTTCTCCCAAACGCGTTGAGCTAGGAAGCTCAAATTTTCTGACTTTTCCTAAAAGGCTTCTACGCAACATGTCTGAAAATTTTGAGTTGATCTGACCTCAGGTCAGGTCACCAGAGGCGGTTTGGTGACCCTACCTCAGAAAAGTTTGCAATCACGCCAGAGCTAGAGTTTTTGACCGATCAATTTCTTCTCTTCAGGCTTTAGTAAGGGTACCAGTATGTGCAATTTGTATATCTCGGAATTTTGATATCGGTGACCTAAGGTCAGGTCAGTTTCGCGACCTCCCCATTATAAGTCAATGAGGGAAAAATCAACTCCCTGTTTTTACCACTAAAACGGGTCGGAATGGCCCAATATACCATACATGACTTCATATACGATCAACCTTCACTACCTTGAGGTCTGTTTTGCTGTTGGGCAGCTGTGAGGTCATGTGACGTCATCAAAGGTCACCAAAGGTTTTTGGCCAATAACTCCGTACAGGAACAAGATACAGACGCGTGGATGGTCTCATTGTGTTCAGCTCGTCAAGACGCATCGAATGATATACATGATGACCTCGAGGTCACGTGACCTGAGGTCAACCTTTGACCTTGACCTTGCGAGGTCAACATATATATCATTCGATGCGGATTGACGAGAGGATCACGATGATGCCCTTAGTTTGTTCCTATCTTGACTAATTCGAAAGTTATTCGAGAAAAACTCTCTCCATATCTAGCGCCGCCATTTTGACTTTTTCGACCCCTGTGACGTCATCTTTGACCTGACCTGAAAATGACCTTAGTAAAAATTGTAGATCTTGACCGTGCGTATCCGATGCCGTTTACCGTTTGTCGCTATCTTGCTTCGTTCTCGAGATCTCAGGGGGGGGCGAATCGGCCCCCCCCCCGCCAGTTTCTTGTCCCGGCGGAGCCCGCCAGGAATAGGGTTAAAAGGAAGAATACTCAGTCATGTTGCAAAAGCACGATCAATTAGTAAGTCTAATGGTAGGTAATAGGTATAGTACAATAAAATAAATAAATGTTAATCACCCCTAGGGGAAAAACAGAATCAAGACACAAAAAATTGTTTGGAAACTGGCCTTAACCCGGCAACGACTGGGCTATTTCCATACCCACGACAGCCTGGGGGGTCGGATCCGACCACCCCCCCCCCTGTTATCTCGAGAACCAATGGTCGCATCGAGCCCCGCGAGGCGGTGTTCGAAAGGTCTCTACGAGACCTTCCTAAAGCACTCTTAAGATTTTAACCCTCGCCGGCACAGGCCATTTTGAGTCCTTCGACGGCACAAGGGGGGGTTGGTACGACCCCCCCTCGCGTTTGGCCCCTGATCGAGCTAGAGCTTCGCGGAAAAAACGAGCGTGTTGCCCGTCACGAGAGGAAGCCGATGATACCCAATTTTAAGGTCCTAGATCATCTGGTGACCTTCCAGGTCATGTCAATGACCCGAAAACCGGGAAAATCGGGACCTGTTAGAAAGTCGTAAAGTGTGGCTGCTATGTGGTTTTCCGGGGTGCTGATCACGAATATCGTGTTAGTTTTGATCATAGATGATGTCTTCAAGCATTTAGACCAGGTCGGGTCAGGTCAGGTCAGGTCAACCGGTAGGGGTTGTGACGGGTATTCGTAATGCGTGTCAACCGCCTCGGACAGCTTCGTAACATGTTACGAAAGCACCAAAACTACTTCGTAAATGTTCAAATGGTTGCTAAATTCGAATTCAGCTCCAAAAACTAGCCTAGAAACATGTAAAACTCGAAAAAGTGAACCGAGGTCACCCGAGGTCACCAAAGGTCAATGACCTGACCTGACCTTCAGGTGACCTTGACACCCACCCTAATGCATGGGAGCAACATCAAATCACATGTTTGAACGTTTGAAACCACGAAAAGCTTGCAAACGCGCGGCTAATGCGAGCCGACATGCGCCGAACCGCGATTTCGGCCAAACATGGTCACAGAAAAGAGACCACAGGTCAAAGGTCATTGGGGGCAGGGTCATGAAATTTTTAGGGTAGGTGTAAAATTGATCAATGCAAGGGTACTGAAAGTTTCGTCGCGATCGGCCGCTTTTTACGCGAGTTATTCGCGAAAAACCTTAGGGGGGGGGTTGCATCAACCCCCCTGTGCCGGCGAGGGTTAAGATTGAGGTCAACTTTCGGGTCAAGGTCAGGTCAAAGGTCAAATTCTGGGGTTTTGCATGATTAGGCTTACGGACAGCGGAATCGATAGCTGCTGCTCGAAACTCACCAAAAATGACCTCAAAGAACAAGTGAAGGTACCATGTGCGCATAGGGGTCATACTAAGTACGGGTCAAGGTCAGGTCAGGTCACGAAAGGTCACGATTTTCACTTTCTGCTACATGGGCGTGCGACACATGTTTTATGGATTATTTTTCACGCCGAATCCGATGGTAATGGTTATATGTGACACCAAGTCACTGTGCTGGCGATAAGTGTGCATTGAAAGCATAAAAATTCGTTTATACAGGGTGTTCCAAAAAAAGTGAGCCCCCTAACTAAGATCGACTGTATCTCCGCAACCGTGTATCCTACAGCTTTGGAAAGCCGCTCATTAGAAAGAGCAATCGAATTCCATCCAGATAGGTCGAAATTCTGTTACATAGCTTGCACAACACGACCAGCATTGTGAAAGCACAATTCAACACCAAATTCTTAGTGAAATATTTAGGGGTAACGGATATGGTTAAAATTTCTTCACATCTGACTGCATATTTCAGTTCACGTGCTTTTATTCATTCTTCGCGCGTGAACTTTTATCATAAAAAAATGAAGACTGAATGGATGACCTAGTTCAACCAGTATTTTGACCACTCCAATAACGGTCGTGCGTTGCCGTCAGCAATACACGTTTACCGCCGTCGCCGTGTTTCACCCGATCTCGGAACACATTTTGTTCTGGTCGTTCTCGGTGTAATACGTAATCATTCAGAGCCACACTAGGTAGCCTACTAGAACCGAAATCGACCGTTCTTTCCAACAAGGGGTCTTTCATTATCGTAGGACATACGGTTTTGGAGATAAAAGCAATAATAGTTAGGCGGGGCATACCGCCGTCGCCAAGTTTCACTCGATCTCGCAACACATTTTGTTCTGGTCGTTCTCGGTGTAATACGTGATTATTCAGAACCACACTAGGTAGCCTACTAGAACCGAAATTGACCGTTCTTTCCAACAAGGGGTCTCTCATTATCGTAGGACATACGGTTTCGGAGATAAAAGCAATATAAGTTTGGGGGCTCACTTTTTTTGGAACACCCTGTACCATACATAACTAAATGAGGGCTGAGAAAAAGGTCAATTTTTCAACTTTTTATTTTTGACATAAAAATGCACTTTTCTAGACGAGCTTTGTCCCAGGAATCTAGTGGTGTCATTTGTTTTCACATGCGATGTTCAGAAGTGCCTCTAATTCACGAGAATGCTTATGACGTCACCATGCCCTATGCATATTGGAGCTATTTTTTATAATTTGGGGGTCAAAAATCAAGATAGAAAGTTGAAATTTGGGACATGTAATGTTCTAATGGAGCTCTGTAACATATATTCCGGTTTTTTGGAAATTCTCAAAATTTTGGATTTTATTAGCTGTTTTCCAAAAAAATATAGTTTTTTTGGAATTTTTAGGGGTTAAAAACGCATTTTATGGAAAATCCGAGATAGCCATTTTAAAGAGCTCGTTAAGCTGCGTCTATTCATGTCCTTAATTTGCAATTTGCTTTAAACCCTGATTTTTGGCGATTTTTAAAACATTTACCACTTTTTGACTAAAAACGTCATGTAGTTACATCACTAAAATCGATATATCTAAAAAAATGGATTTTTTTTCTTAAAAATTACACAACAGACGTCAAATTGATGGGGGAGAAGGTATGCCAAGTTTCAAGTTGATAGCGTAAGCGGTTCTTGAGTTAGTCAAGAAAAACGGAGGGGGGGGATCGGATCCGACCCCCCCCCCCCAGGCAGTCGCGGGTTAACATTGTAGTGAATTACACTTACAATGTTGATTTTATTAGATATTAATATTGTGTTGGATCTTTTTTATCAATATGATCCAGAATTGGA